TGAAAAAATTTAAATGTAAGTGGTGAAAGAAGAGAGGCAGTAATGGAGGGGAACAGGGAAACAGTTCCTGGGGGTGTAGGACTCTCAGGGAAGTGAAGCCTCAGTATTGCTTTGCAGTTGTTACACAAAGGACAGATCATCATTGAACTTGACAACATAAGGGGCTAACTTGAAAAATGAAATTGGACAAGATTACAAATAATGTTACACAATATGTTTACAAAGCTTGCTTCACAAAACGGTCTTCCTTTCTTACAAGGTGGTACCGAGCAGGTCCTTGGGTTCATCTGCAAGCATTTTTGCACTGGCTGGCTGTTAAGCCCTATGCATCATGCTCATCTTCAGCACTGTTGAAATTTGAAATAATAACCTGTGAGGGAAGTCTTATATCTCAGAAGAGTAGTACAGATATGCTTATCTTTTTAAAAACAAGCAAATGTGAAGTTATTCCCCAGAATAATCTCTGACTGCTAGCTATGTAGCAAGATTTTAATTGGTTGAATAATTAGAAGAGAGAAAACTTTACATTATTAGAATTAATAGTACTAAACTATGATAAGTCTGTATTTCTTCAAAGTTCATGCACTATTAAAATTTTTCTCATATGCTATTTATAAAGTTCACATAAAAATTTTTAAAAATAATTTTAGGGTAACCTTTTCATTTTGCAGCATTGTTATTCTTGGCAGATTATCTGTGTGGTAAAGAGCATCCCTCCCCACACTAGTTGGCTCATACTTCTCTGGTCTAGAGACATACGTGTTTTAGATTCACTTTCATACCTCTTGGCATGTAGTGTTGGAACCAGCCACTCCATCAGTTGTCAGTCTGAATAGCCTTCATTTGGCCAATTATGGATTTATAAAAGTTTGCTTCTAAATAAGCGATTTGGTGTATTGTCCTGAGTTACCTTTGCCTGGGGAAGACAGGAAAATTTGCAGCAGTGATAATAGGAGCTTCTAGCCATTGAGTTCCCATCAGAACCATGTGCCTGCATCGTCTTTGCCTTCTCTGAGGACTGTCCCATATGGTGATCATATAGTATTTGAGTGACATATTAAATCATCTATATTTGCCTTACCTTTATTTATTTTAAAGATAGTAAAATCCAATAAAACAAAACAGAACAAAACCAATCAAAATTCGTAGCAGTGAAATTAGTACAGAACTTGGAAGCAGGAATCTAGGAAAACAACAATGACTTCCATAGTACATCTTACTATCTCCACAGTAGTTGTCCATTCTATCAAAGACAGCAAAATCAAACCAAAACAAAACAGAATAAAACCAATCAAAACAGAACATTGAATAAAGCAAAACATTTGGAACACAACAGTGAGAACAATGCTGGATTTCAAAGACAAGATAGAAGGAAATCTCCCATATTTGTTATATTGCATACTATCATCCTCCCAATAAATGCTCAGACCACTGGCCCCAGGCCTGCATAGTCAACCAAACAATGCAAGCATTTAGTTGCCTTATGTACCTTAGTTGCTGTCAACTCAGCCTGTCCTCCAAACCAGCAAGTTGATTGTGGCAGGGGTGGTGTGTTGATTCTCAGCCTGTGTGCAGGTAGGCTCACAGGAGGCACTATCTGAATTTTCTCTTCCTCCATGGTTTACCAGAGACGCTGGCTTGTTGGCTTCTTGGTGGGCTCCTCTCAGTCCCAGCATGGCTGATGATCAGAAGATGCTTACTGCTCTTTGTTTTTAAATTTTTATTTTTTTGTCTTTTTGAAACAGGGTCCTACTATACAGTTCAGGCTGGCCTTGAGCTCACTTTGTAGCCCCAACTGGTTTCAGACTTGCAACAATCCTCTTGCCTCAGCCTCCCAAGTGCTGGGATTACAAGCATGTGCCACCGTGTGGCTCTTTCTTTTAACGTGTTAAAACATGACTGACTTTTCAATGTTTTATATATTTTAATAAATTTCTAAGAACAATTTTAGATTCATAAGAAAACTGAGACTCAAGTATGAAGAGCTCCATTGCACCCTTGCATGGATGGCCAGCCTTTCCAGCCATCAGCATCTTGCAGAGCCCCGGCTATGTTGTATTCATTGAGCTTGTGTTGACATACCATTATTACTCAAAGGCCATGGTTTGCCTAGGGTTCACTCTTGATGATCTAGATCTTTTTTTGAAGTTGTGATATTGTTGTTTGTCAAGAGGTCAGAGTCTGCTCAGAGCGACTAGTGCTTGCACCTAGATTCTGAATAAATATTTGATGAATGAATAAAACATTACAAGTTCTTGGTATAATAATTCAATACATTTTGCTTTATTTTTCTTTAAGTTGTGTAGATTCTTCTAAAGCCAAACTGGAGGAAATCTGTTTTTTAAAGCAATCTTAGCAGAAATTTCTGTTCTTTGAATGTTATAATAGAATTGTCATTGCTGTATCAGGAAATCATTTTAATTATTTTGGTTCTTAGATGAAGAAGGTTTATTCTTAATATTTATATTTATAAGTATATAAACTATATTGAGGTTTCAGCTATTTGAAAACATAATGTGCTTTTTAAAGTATTGTATTTACATAGTTTTCTCTGTTTTATGGTTATTTTTTTTTACATGGACTTAGATGTAAGTTTAAATGTACCACCAAAATTTCATAAGTAATATTTTTAAATATATTTGTGTCCTCCAACTATAGTTCCATTTTAAACACATATTATAAGGAGATAACCCAAAATAAGTTAAAAATACCCAACTATTTTGGTGGTATTATTCATAAAAACTGAAATTGTAATATGTTTTTACATTTTTCATTTCTTATATTTTCTTCTCTTTGTGAATAAGCAATGTCATAAAGAGTCTGATTGTAATGGTTGGGATGGTTCATTCCTTTTTGAATCATAGTAGAAGAGGCTTATTTGGTATAAGGAATAGGATGTAAGAGGCGGAAACACATTTTTCTTGTCCAGGAATTGAACTTGCTAACACTAGTACTGGTAATTTCTGTGATCTGGGGAGGGTATGCTGTGACCTAGTGCTGCAACTGAATGTCACCAGCAAGAGATTTGGAGCTGGAGCTGGGTCTTAGAGTAGGGAGATGATAGCTCCAAATGGGGGAAGAGCTGTTGTGTTGCTGCTAGTTCCTCTCATTCAGTGAACAGCCACCCTACTCCTGACCTGATGGCAGTAAGTAGATTTGGCTTCCTCCTGTGTGTCGGTCCTTGGTCTAGCAGTTGGGTTACACCTCACAGCCCCCATTGCTATGAGGTAAGAAATTAGGAAGGCAATGAATGGTGGCTGCCAGATCTTGATTTCCACTCCCTCAAAGTCGTGATTCAGCATAAGAGCAAATAAAAATGCACATGATCTATTTTCAAGGCAATTAGAAAGGAGCATCAGGTCTCTGCATGTAGAGAGCAGTGCCTGGGAAGCTTATGGGAAGTTTAAGAAACTGTAAGAGAGTATAGATTTAGGTCTTGATGGAAGCACAGGCAAGACCACTGCAAAAAGAGAAAGTTGGGATTCCACATGTCTTACAGCACCAGCTACAGGAAAAGAGGCACGGTAGGAGAAAATGGTGGTCCTTGGAAAGTGTTGCTTCCACAGGGGGGCTTAAGATATGTAGAGAAATGGTAGCAGCCCTGAAGACAATTATAATGAGTAGAAAGAAGGAAGGAAAAGGGAGAAATTACGGATCTCATAGAAATGCAGAACAAACGTAGCACCTCAATTCTGACTTCCCAATTTCTTTTATACCAGTATCATCTATAAAAACTGTAGGCAAAACCGGCAGAAGAGAGGACTGCCATACCAGGAGTGCATTCAATGAAATGAGTAAGACTAGAACAGGTACCCTACATCTTTACAAAACAGCTGTAAGAATAAGAATACATGTATTCTAGCTGATACAACTCTAAAAATCAACTATGAGGTTAAAGAAAACCATATACAACACTATAATATGACCTTAACATTCTCATTCGGCCCTTTGGGTATATGGATCAAAATCATTGTTGAATTAAAAATACAAAAATAAGCAGAAAAATGGTAAAACATGAAATCAAAGAAGAGTTCATTGAATTTCTCATAAATATAGAAGACAAAATCAAGTCAGAAATGGCAACTAAATTGCAAGCTATTTAAGGAAAAAAGCAGATGTATTGACAAGTGACCCCACATATTAATATTTACATTAAAACTAAATGGCCTAAGTACATCAATAAAAAGCCAAGATTGGCAGCATGAATTTTGAAAATATACAACCCACCTTTATGCAGTCTCACATACATCAAATAAAATGATATTAATGGGATAAAAGAAAAAAGGACCATAAAAATCATCATGTAATCACTAATCAAATGAAAGTTCAAATGGCTGTACTACCATGTAACAGGTCTCGGAGCAAAAACAATTTTTAGGGACAGAGTGACATTTTTGATAAAAAAGTTCATTCACAAAGAAAAAATAACATTCTTAAATGTGTACTGCATGAGCTTCAAAATACGAGGAAACTATAGAACCGAAAGCATAAATTTACAAGTCCACAATTACAATTGGAGACATCAGCACCACTCTTTTTAGTAATCGCTAGTCAGAAAATCAACAGGGATTTAAGAGAACTCAAGGACATCATCAAATGGGAGGATCTGTTTGACATTGTAGAACTCTCTACCCAACATAAGCAGGATACTTATACACATGGGATTTATACAGGGATAAGTCATATCCTTAGTAAATAATTGTCAATAAAATAAACCTTACAAATTTTGAGGAATTGAAATCACACCCTGTTCTCTGAACATACAGATTCATACATACAAACTGAAATGGACATGAGTAACAAAGGACAAATGAAATAATTGGAAGAGTTTTATCTAAATGAAAACCTCATTCCTCTGACCATAATTCTTAATTGTTACTGTTACTGGCTTGGAACATGGGAAAATAGACATCTTTCCTCTGACAGTATGCCAAAGTGATAATGAAGCTAGTTGATTGTTACCCATGATAAATTGTCCCTTTGTCTACTTTATTTTACAGCTTCTCTGTTAAAAGGACTAAAACATGCTAACATAGTGCTGCTTCATGACATCATTCATACCAAGGAAACACTGACGCTTGTCTTTGAATATGTGGTAAGTGAAGTAATAATTCATACTTTTAAAATATGAATAAAATTCTTACAGTGCTATCATGAAATTTTGTTTATAGATTGCTGTACTGAAGTGAATATTGTATCTGAGTACAGTACATGAAACATAATAGTGGCCTTATAAGAGATTTTTGAACATACTTCTTAAAAACACATTCAGAAAAATGTTAAGTTGAATCTTCCTCAGATATATTATCTATTTATAGCCTAATTGTGACCATTGCAATTTTTAGGCTTATCAAACATGATTAAGTAGCATGATAATTATCAGTATCAAGGAAGTTCAAAGATAAAATATTTTTCCTTTGGTTTTACAAAATCATCCCTATGAAGATTTTTTAAAAAGGAAGTCTTATACTTACAATTTTTGCTTCAAAGTTTTTCCTCTGGTATTCAGCTATTAATTAACACTTATAATTTACATAGCACACAATGTAATGATCTTACTGTGTTGAGACTATTACTGCTGGAAGACTTGGACTTGAACTCATAATTAATCTTTCTTTGGTTCCTTAGAAAAACATATGGTATTTGTGCGACATCACTTCAGCCTTTAACTGTGGAATCATGAAATGTAACCATGATAATTAGCATCCCAATTTTCACAGATGGATCTGAGAGCATGTAATTTATAAGACACAAATGACATTGGTGCAGACTTTTATTGGGAAGACAAGCTATTGGTATTATGAATGTATTAAAACTCCATTTTGTAATTATCACACCACTTTTTAAGAAATTTGAAATAGTTTTCATTTTTTTAAAGCAAAACACAAAAGAATGAATACTTGCAGCATTTTTATCTTGCTAGTGTCTGCCTGTGTCTGTTTGTCATTTGAAAATTGTTGTCTTAGGAAGAAGCCATTCATCTTGTCTATTTACATATAAATGATAGATCCATTTGAATAATATGGTAATGTGGCTACCAGGCCTGCTAGAGCTGAGCAGTTGCATACATTTCATGCTACCAAGAATAGATGCACATTCACACATCAATGCGGATATAATTTCTTTTGTTTAAACCATGATTTGGAGTCAGTAACATATTCAGCTGATTTAGACTTGAAACTTTCGAATCATATTTTCCATTGTGTGTCGTTTACATACTTCAGTAAAATCTAGATTTTCTTCTACCTGTACTTTCTAAATTTTTTAATGCTTAATAGAAAAGATAGCCCTTGCTCAAGTTGACTAATCAAGTTAAAAAGAAGAAAAATAGTGTGAGCAATAAGCTTGGTAACATTGAAAGAGAAACCAGTGATGGAAACATGCAAAATATTCTTCAGATCTTAAAAGAAAATGAAAAGTATTGGTGAGGATACAAAATATGCCTGTTAAATCAAATGTCATTTGATGACTTTGTACTTTGTTGCCAACAAAAGGGGGGAAAGAATATGATCATCTTATAATATTTGCTGGTTAAGACTGACTTTTAAATGCACCCATTTTTCTTTGTGAGTGAAATGTTTCTTGTCCCAGTTCTTTCGGAGATATTTTAGGTCCTTAAATCAAACACATATATCACAGTGGTACGCGGTACCCACCAGGGACACTTCTGGGTTAACAGCTTCTTGGAGGGTGTCAGACTTCAGGTTTTCCTTTAGAAAATGGGGTTCATGCTTCCTAATTATCCTCCTCTTCTTCAGTTCTCCTTGCCATCTTTATCTCCTTTCCTTCTCTGTGATTCTTGCCTTTTTCTTTTCTGCTTTTTTTTCACTACTTTTACCACTGTCTGTTTGCTCTATCTCTGATAAAGCACTTTTGGTTGCTACACTTCGTTTGTTTAATTTTTGTTTAAATAAGAGAGCAGAGTTTGGAGAAAAGAAGAGCTCTGGACCGCAGAGAACATAGAACATCTCCCCAGTTACGGTGAGGAAGGTGTAAACTCCTCAGCTAGGGTTTGCCTGATGATGTGGCATTTGCCCAGTACAAAAATAACTTCTTCAAATATGCTCTGTTTTCCAGCTTTGTTCTTTATGAAATGCTGATATTGCCAGGAGAGTTACAGTTACTACTTTTAAGCGGGTCAGTTGGTTTGCTCTCCTCACAGCAGCTTGCAGAAAAATAAACTCCTTCTTCTTGTGTGCTTCCTAGTCTGGGGAAGGCAGCAGCAATTGAGAAATGCTTTGGGAATTAGAGCAGATTTGGGGGGTGGGGTTAGGGGTGGGGGTAAGAAGTTGGAGGGCCTTGTGGGTTTGGGATGATGAATGAGGAATGCAAAGAGGGAGATAAAGAATGTTTGGGACTAGGGTGAGACAATACAGAAAACCAACACAGTCATTTGTTGAATTTTTATATTGGGAACTGTGCTGAGGGCTTTGCATTCATTGTTACTTGCACCTTTCCAATGATTATCATCACTTTACAAAGGAGAAATCTAAGGATTAGGAGACTGAGTTGCTCTTCCAAGTTCTTGTCGTGTAAAAGTAAGATAGAGTCAGGCCCAGCTTTGCTGAATCCTAATTAGAGTGTACTTCCCTTTTAGTTTTATAGTTTTTTCTAAGTGTAACTTTGGATCAGAAGAGGGAAAAGAAACTTTGTTGTTTTAAATTCTCCCCGCTAAGATCACTGCACTTATGATCCTGAGTCCAGCAGAGCCAGTTAAACTGCTTTATAATGCAAATAAGTTTTGCCAGCTAGCCAAAGGGGGAACCATTTAAACTTGTATTTCAACTGCAAAGTATATTTTAAGTTTCCATGAAACAAACTGTGAAGTTACTGTATTGCTCCATGTATTCCACTGCAGTGAACTTGGTTTGCATGCACATGGAAGCAGAACCTTGTTGTTTAGCAATTTCCAAAATCGACGTAAAAATTCCAGCCTAAAATTTCTCAGACTTACACCGATATTACTGAGTTGTTAACATTAAAGTTATTTTCTAAGCAGTGTCAATTTTGTAATTTCATGTAATTAATAATATGCTGTTTGAAAGAGAGAACATAAAAACTTAAACAGTGTAGGAAAATTTAGTATTCCGTGCTCAATAAAACCCTGCATGTGAGTGGAAAGCAAAATAATTTCAGGTTTATTAGGCACTATTGGATTTTTCTTTTTGAGTTAAGAATTAAGTTTTCAGGGGCTTTGGAGGTATTTATGTAATATGTGTCTCAACAAGTGAAGATTTCTTATTTATGATGATGTACAAATAGTATAAATATATTTTTCACTGCTTTAAAAAAGAACTCTGATCCCTGCTCTTTTATATAATTGCTATGAATGACATTTTACATTTCATAAAATGCTTAAGGGTCAGAATAATGAAATACGTGATTGGAGTTAGTGATGTGGAAGACTGCTTGAGGAAATGACTATGGAGGTTAATATTAAAGTGATTTGGGAGGAAATAGGATGCTCTGGGCTCTCTTAAGTACTGTGAAAAGACTCTAAGGTGAGGTTAGATTCCCACACAGAGCACAGTGTGTGGAGGCAGCACTGGAAGCTTTCGGGGTGGGACATTTTGGGCTGTGTGGTCCCCAGCCTGCTACCCTCATGGGGCATATGATCCCATGGTGTGCACTCTCTTCAGCATTGCCTTCCCCCAAGGGGCATCAGTTCCCAAGGAAAACTCTCACCTAGAGAACGACTCCTCCATTCCTTGAGAAGCAGAACTCTGTCACAATGGTCTAAGATATTGCTACAGCCATCTTTGTTCATGCATAGGTTTAAGACCTTGGCAGACAAATGTAGATGGTAGTTTAGAATCACTGATTTCAGTAAACATCAGTTGTGAAACTGTTACCAAATGTTTCTTCTACTCAAACAGAAAATTAAATAATTTAGTTTTGTATATTTTTAGCCAAAGATAAATGAGGACCACATTGTCCTATTTCATACCATGCAGAAAATTTCAAACAGATTCCAAAAGTATAAATAAGAATATTAAGAGTAAACATGGTTTTGTAAATGCATGGTGCTGTTAAGCTCCTGTTTGGCTTTGTTGTAAATTACAAAAGAGCAAAACATGGAACATCACTGCATGTTTAATATAAAGAAAAGCTAAATAGAATGGAGTTTGTCAGGGGATAGGAAGAGGGGCAAATGGGAAATTATAAAATAGGTACAAACTTTCAGTTTTACAAGATGAGTAAATTACACAGGTTACTATGCAGCATAGAGCCTAAAGTTAGTAATATGATATTGTGCACTTAAAAATTTTTTAGAAGGATAGATCTTGACTTAAGTGACCTTAGTGCTAGAAAACTATAAACAAAAGTATGCAAGGAACTAGAGAATGTTTATTACTTGAATTTCCTAGATTGTGGTGATAGTATCACGTGTATGTGTAGGTTCAAACTCATCAAAATGTATATGTTAAACATATGCTAATGTTCATGTATCAATTACATCTCATTAAAGGTCTAAAATTCACAGAAAGTCTTGGTATTGTTAGGAGCAATCATTTTTTCTTTACACAATGATGTGAACTAATAAAATAGTTCAACCTAGTGCATAGCATTACATTTTTAAAATCCCACATTCCACATGAAATTTAAAAAAAAAAAAAAAAAACTGTCACCAAAGCTTTTACAAAGTGATCTCAGGATCTGATGAATCACGTAAGGTGGTTTTATAGTGCTGTGCATGCTGAAAAGGGCTCCCATAAAGATTTTTCCATCAGTTCCACTGTGGTCATACAAAGGATGAAGGACATGCATTTTTTCCAGTATTTTATTGATGAGAAAAAGTAATGAAGAATTTAAAATAACTTACTGGAATCATTCAGCTAAAAGGTTAAAGATGAAACTATAGCCCTGGTCTTCTGTATCTTAAGATTTCTGCCACCCCACCTCACCCTGTAGGCTGCATGTATGAACTGTCTTCATTGTTTTATGTGATGATCTGAGTTATGTACAAGATGGGCCCAAAAGCTGAAAGTAACAGTTCTGTCTTTAAACCTGAACACAAAATTTATGTGTTTAGTTTCTCTGCTTCATACATTTTGGTTTCTAAGTCTATAAAGAATACCTTAATTGACATGATTT